ACACACACACACACAGACTCATACAGTACTGTATGTATACCCACAGGAGCCACAGCCATGTCACAAAAAAGTGACACTGGGCTCTTTCTGACTCTTCTCTCTCTCTGTCAACTGAATTGTAATGCAGTTTCCAACCCTCGTATATCTGACATTTCTGATAACTCAGTTTTGAATAAAGGAAGGATCACTGTTGTTCCTCATCTCCTCTGCCACTAAAAACACTGATTTAAACTCTTGTATGTGTTGCTATCCTCACCATTTAATGGATGATGAAACAACAGAGTGAGATGCCTTTTCCTGTATTGCTCACTAAGGATAAGGTAAAGGTTTCACAACCACTGAGACTACACTCACAGCTGCTTAGAGTCACAATGTCAAATGATGCCTTCATATTATGTGTTAATTACAAAAACATTTTGCTTTTATCATTGCTCTATTATTGGATGTATCATCGTTATGTCCCAATAAAAACCAGCGAAGAAGGACATTTTAATCATCTTTTATCCTTTTTCAGCTTAACTAAAACAAATCAGAGATAATTCTTCTTGGTTGCCCAAACTTCATCTCTGTTCTACAAAAAAATCTTGGATCATTGTTGTCAAATATAAAACGTGCAGCCAGAAACCTCAGAGTATTATTTGACCATGACCTCAATTCAAAGAGCAAATCGCAACTCAGGAGCATATCTCTTGAAAAAGTAATCTATGCCCTTTTCTTCACAATTAGACTAGAGTAATTCTCTATATTTCGGGTTAAGCCAAACAGCCATCTCGTGCCTTCAGCTGGTACAGAATGCAGCTTCTCGGCTTTTAACTAACGCAGCCCTGTTTTAGCCTCTCTTCACTGGTTACCAGTCAGTTTTAGGACTGATTTTAATAATTTAGTGATCACCAATAAAGCACTTCACGGTTTAGCTAACAGCTACATTGCTGAATTGCTGCACCCCTATGAGCCGGGGCTCAAAGTCCCTCTGCTCTGGAACTCCCTGCCAAGGATCTAAGGCTTGCTGAATCAGTGACATCTTTTAAATCACTTCCTAAACCTTTTATTTATTTTAGCACACTGTTTAAGTTTCCATCATGTCTCATCTATTATATTAGTATTATTGACTTTAACATATATTAGCGATGGGTATTTTATGCTTTCATTTAAAAAAATAAAATAATTAATTGTTTAAAATGATTTGCCACAATGCCATTGTTTTATCTATTTTATTGTTAGTACTTATTTTTACTGATGGGAATGGTTTTATTCTTTTGATTCTACCTCACTTCTATAGGATTTTATTTTTCTGACTTTATTTTGCCTTTTTACTATCTGTTTTTAATCCTGGTTCCAGCCATGTCAGGCACTTTGTGCTTGAAAAGTTAGTTTTGAAAAGTGCTGTATAAATAAAGCTTATTATTATTATTATTATTATCATTATTAATATTATTATTGTTAATATTATTGTTATTATGTTGCCTGCACCTTGGTATTAAAATACTACAACTTCCCTACACTGTATGGGTTCCTTAGTTCCGAACCCACTGGTTCCTACTGAAGAAGTAAATCGTTCAAAAAGATTACAAATGTAAAACTTCAGAAGTCATAAAAAGTGAAATTTGGGAAGACTCACTGTCCCGATGAGGACTGTATGACTGGATACTGAATGGCCCTTGAGGTAAGATCGTTGTGTCAACCGCATAAAAAAAAAAAAGAAAGCTCAGTAATTTCCTAAAACAACTCAAGACTGTAATTCTTAGAAAAATTTGTTGGGGACTATTTTCCGCTGTGGATTAATACAAATTTAGTTCTTTCGTCAGTATTTCCAGCAGCAGGTCGGTGTATGTGGGACTGAATTAAAAATAAACTTCAGTGTGGGCTCATTGATGTGATTTCAGTGGTTATAAACACATCAGTGGAGCTCTGTGGCACTTGTTATTTCGATCAATTCTTGTTGGGTTTGGTCTTTTCATGGGATTTTTGGACGATAAGAAAAATACAGAATAAGACTAGCCTTACCCTTTAGGGTGCTCTTCAAGGCGAACAAATGGTTCCTGAAAGGTATGTTTTCAAACACTCTTATACACTCTTTCTTTCTTGCAGAAGGAAACCTTTTCAAATTTGATTGCTTTTTGTAACTCTGTCTACATGAAGATTATATGTCTGTTGCATTTTGTATGGATTATTTTATTACCTTGATTATATTAATATTTTGAAATAATTGGTCCATTCGTCATTTTGACTGTGTACAATTTTCTTTCTTATTCCCACCCTGATGAAGACCCCATGAGGTCAAAACCACTTGGAAATTGAAACAATTATGTCCACTAAAAAACCAGGTGCCTCAAACAACGAGCCCAGGTGATGAGGCCCGTGAGACAATCTTCTTAGGCTTCCTCATTTTTAGAATATATCATTACATCTAGCCTGAAACTTTTTTTTTTCATCCTATTCAGACTCTTCCCCAGTGTTTCACTTTAGAGTAATCCTTCAAATTTAGACCAAAAACAGGGCATAAAAATATTCTCTTTAGCAGGAAAGCTGTGCTTAATTTTGCAACACTGACATTTATCGCAGTGCACCGGACACCAACATTTCTCTTGTGAGAGGTTGACCTGAAGGACAGACAGTTTAAAGAGAGGTGGACGATTGATTCCTTTCTAGTAGATATTAATATGACTGCTTCCTGTCTCCTGTGAGGAGGGAGCTGCCGTTATCCAGGAATACAGGAGGTCCGAGGGAGAGAAGAGGGATAGATGATTTGCTCAGCTTGAGAGTTTAAATTTATTAGTAAGTTCCACAAGTTTAAATTTTAACCTCTTTTAATCGACCATTTGTCTGTCTAAGAGGACCTGAACAAGTCTCTTTTCTGTGACCGTTTTCCTCTGCAGACTGACAATAAACAGTCTTGAATCTCCACGAATGCACCCGTATAGGAGTTCATTCATACTATAATAAATGCATATCCCTCCCACTCCCCTTTGCAAACAGTCAGAAGAGAAATCTGCAGTTTTTCCTCCCTGTCACATTTTCCCAATGTTCTTCAGAAGCTCACATGCATATCAAACATGTGATGCAAATTAAGCACAACAATGGGACGCATGTTAACCGGTGCTGATTACGTAAGTTTGCCTATGCTGGTAATTGGAGTGATTATTATAAAATATGTGGAGTGCTTCAGTGGTATTAACATACACACTCAGTCAGTCAGTGAAGCTCTGACCGCATACTGTATGTAAACAGGATAAAGAAAGAAAGTATCACCAGGCTTACTCATGCTGTACTCCGACTACTGTCAACAATCATATTATTATTTGTAGCAATGTACTGAACTGGTAGGCAGTACAATGTTGTCTTCCACTATCTGCCCCCTCATTTGCCATCTGTGGCGCGACCACAGTGTTTGCGTCAAGCGCGTTACTTCAGAGCTGATGTCAAATGCATAGGCCTGGTGCTCATAAAGCGTACATGCAAAAGGACTGCAGAGGATGGAAGCTTATCAATATGCACACAGGAGCAGCTTGTGTGAAATCCCGAATGCACTGATGCATGGAGGAATCTGCCTCTCTGATGCAAGGAGCTGCTACTGTGGACTTAATGTTAACTTGTAATATTGGTCTCAGGTTGCTTTGTTTTGCTCTCAAGGTGTTAGTGAAACCACGCAAACACACTCACGTAGCGACAGCCAGCGTCCTACAGGCTGGCTGGGGACAGATGGTGGGTAGTTATACTGGAATGTGCTATGGTACGAGTCGAGGTCTGGCGAGGAGAGTGTGCTCCGTGGTGTCGGGATGACTCTCGGGTTTTGGTTTCTTGGTGCTGGGGATGGAGGGTCCATAAATCTGGTTCGACATATCGCTGGATGAGCAGCCAGAGCGGTTCAGGAAAGTACAAAAATACAGCAGTTTGTTGCTCTGGTCGATTTAGGACGAAAGGTGGCAGGGGCACAGGAAAACAGAGTAACACAGAGATCACTCACACACTCTTACATGCACGCACACACACACACAAAAGAAATGAGTCATCAGTGAGTATGTGAAAGGGCTTTAAGAGGCTCTAATTGCATCTGATGAGAAATATAAAAGCGGCTTCTTGCTCAGACAAGGAAGAGGGGGAGGAAGACGGGTGAAGACGGAAGAAAGAAAGAAAGAGTGAAACTACACAACTCCTACCATTTCCTCACATCTTAGAATTAATTTAATTCCATTAACTTCTCAATATAAAATGCTAGATGGCAACGGATTACGTACATGCATATGTTTTCTTCTCAAATAATTACACGCAAGGAGAATACACTCTTCTTGATAGGTTATCTTGAAGTGTCTGTGAGAGCTGGCATCCACAGTACGTGTGGCTTGATGGTGACATTTGCGTAATATGAGCGGCGCTTCACCCCCGCGTCATTAAATCCTCACCATCAAACCCATTAACACCCATTCTCTCCAGAGAACTCCATTTACGCAATGCTCTGGCGCGGCTGCGTCGAGGTGGCATCTTTGCCAAGCGCCTTCGCTTGCTATGCCTTTCTCCTGGTGCCGCATGCCGAGCCTAATCCCGTGGTACGGTCGACACGGTGAGGAGGGGGGGCTCTGGGAAAGAAGGTGGCGCTGGGCGAGGCCATCTGGGTATCCCATCTGCAGCACGGCTATGGCTGCGACTCTTTCGTTCTGGCAGCCTGTGGCGAGCGATTACCGACGACAGGCCCTGATGACAGGGGCGAGAGGCTCCCCAGACGTCTTGAATGACGCGGAGGCCTGCTAATAATAGGATGCTGTTAAAAGACGATGAGCTCATTAACCTGGTTATTACCAAAAAGGTGGGACAGAGGGAGGCAGTGATCCAAAATAGGTTTTGTTTATGCAGGACTACAAGCATCCTGTTGGGTTTTAGTATTGTGTGTAAAGACATGGCGGTCAATGTAGAAAGTGGGAAACTGGGACACAACAAACACTATTACATTTGTCAAATTCTCACACTTTACTTGATAAAGTGATACGAGTCAGCGGGATGCCTCTCTCTAAAAACCTTAGGAAAGTGTAAATGTGGAATACAAACAGAAAAGTCACATGATATTCAGTCATTTAGACACATTTTGTCATGTTCGACTGAATTTTTCGATCCTTAAAAATGGCCTCTGACGTGTGTGCAGGTTTCAGAACCCAACATTAAACACAAGTGTATTCTTGAAATGAACTGGCTTGTATTGTCTGAAGGCAAAAGCATATTGGCCGCTGTATGGCCGTACTTAAAGATGGGGCAAAAAGCCTGTCGTCATAAGTGGTGGTTGTCTACACAAGAAATTATATCGCGAAAAAATCATAAATGTTTATCTGTCACATGGTAAAATATAACTGAAATAGCATCATGAGGCCCTAGCAGCAAACCAGTGTATTGAATTGAGCTACGGTGTGTTAATTTAAATGCTACCTTGAAATGCATTTCAAGTGGGATACTGTACGTAAAATGTGTCTTTTTTACAATGAAACACTTGCATCTTCGCAAAAACTGTAGGCTAAAGTCCGTTTGGATTCACAGCAACTGGAATAGACTATAATAGCTGACGACAGTGGCGATATTACCATGAATTGTTTTTTACATACATATCCTCTTGGTCGCTGCTGTTACGCTTCTAAGCTGCTGCATGTATTGATTTGCACCAGTCAAATGTCTGTCTTCCACTCCTACATTGGTCAGAACCACTATATCTTAGCCTGACAAACCTCCTTCATGTTTGTTTTCACATCTGCATTCCAACTGTACTGACCAGGCATGTCACTCAAACCCCAGAATGAGGGCAACTAGTTATTAGTATTTGATCAAATTTTATTTCTTCTTCTCTTCTCTTTGACTTCAGTAAATGCGTGACTTCTTCTCAGCCATGTACGGTCTGCTGTGTTTATAGAACGTGCAGTATCAAGCTAGCCAATGACTAAGCCACACAGATGGCCAACAGGGAAGCGGATTATACTGCAGAAGTGGTTTGAGAAGTTTCTATAGACATTGTGATACTTTTTTGGGCACACATTTTGAGGACGGCCGCTTTTAAATCACGATGTTACGATGGTAGAAGGCTCAGTGGTTGATGACTGTCAGCCATCAGTGGCCCAACCGTAGTTGGCACTTCAAGGCAGAATGTGATCCAATTGTATTGTAATCTGCAATCAGTCCAAATTGTTTGACAGGTCACACAAACTTAGATCAATATTTAATGAGGCTTTTTAAGGTTTGTTTAACAGATGAAGAGGAGGCAGTTATTGTTGAAAATAAATAAATAATTTGTATCTCAATGTGGAACGCTTCTACTATATATGTGAATAAAGACCTGTACCCTCTGTGGTCAAAGCATTGAAAAAACAAAGTAAACACAGTAAGTGACAATATAAACAGTTTATGGAATGCAAATGTAACCACCTGTTCTTATTATATAAGAGTGGCCTTGTAATACTTTTTCAAACTTTGTTTCCTCTGTACTTTTTCAGAATCAATCATTTTCTCTCTGACTTGAGAAGAACCTGCACAAGTGCCACGGACACATCATCACATACAGTCCACAGATACTCACTGACCTTTCTTCTCCCGAGCCATGCGCAGTGCCTGCAAGGATGTCTGCGGGCTGATCTCCAGCTGGCACACCAGCACTTTTGCATGACTGATGGCTGGAAGAGCTTTCTGCAACTCCTCGCCGCCAAGCAGCATGTTGGCACCCGCAACGATCACAATGGCATTCTCACCTGCCAGTGGACACCAAAAGAGCTGTGTGAACGTACAACAGCCATCGTGATGATGACTTTGAGAATCCATGAGAACTCTCTATAAATAGGGCTAAATTGGGGATATGAAATAAGAGAAACTGTGGTGACTTTTATTTTTACACAAGGTAACACTGTTACACTGTAATTTGGCAACTTTGTCAAACGGGACTTCAACAGTCAAGTTTCCTTCAAAATTTAGTGCAATTTTTAACAGAATTTTGAGAAAAACTGTGAAAGAAAATGTGAATTCATGTACATGTTCTATCCACTACTGTTGGGCTAACTCTCCAGTTGAGCGCCATTAAACCTCTGCTGAGAAAGACGGCACAACGAGACAAAGTAATTAAGAGAGTTATGATTTATTTGCAAAGTATGTCACTATTGTGCTTTGTTGTATTTGACTTTTATTTTAAAAGTTTTCTACCTTAGCCAGGTGTAAGCAATTTAGCAATATTTTGACTTTTTTCATCTTCACGACTTTTGTTATATATATTAGTGAATCACAATCAGTTTTAAATCTGCTGCATATGAACTGTGACATTCAGGTGCTTTGTGTTGTTTTTCTTGTTGAAGATTTCTTTTCCTCAATTAAGGAAAGCACTAAACACACAGTTGGGTGGATTTTTTCACACTAATGCAAAATCGAACGTGCATGTTGTTTTATGTATTATTATTTCTTAAATTCAATCTATGAATTAACCACTGTCAATTAGACCTCTTTCAAAACACTAAAACAGTCAACTGTTTGGCACAATGACGTATGAGAACGTACTTTAAGTACTAGAAAAAAATGCATATCCAAGCGGGAGTCCACACGTCATTTGAGTTTTACATCGCCTGATGTGCTGCATGACAAAAATTGCTCTCCATGAGTAAAGCCGTGGATTGTAGCAGATTGGAACCTGTGGATACTCAGCAGGGTTTGGTGCACTTACAGTAAGCATTTGTATAGGTGAGTGTGTGTGTATATCCGGCAATTACAGTCACTTGAGTATTGGTGAGTCAATGGCAGTCAATGGCAGTACTGAATGCATGGGCGTACAGTGTGTGTGTGTGTAGTAGTAGTAGTGAGAAAGTGTGCACCGACGACACACATGCACTATTGGTTGTGCGTGTAAAAGACCATTTCTACAACTCAAAGAGCTTTTAGGATCTTAGTGGCGAAAGCGTTTACCTGCATCGTTGACAATGATGGAGGCAGCTCCTGTGGCGGCGTCAGAGGTCTGCCCGACAAAGTCTGAGGCAGAGAGAAAAGATGAAGGGTGCAAAACATAGTTTGAAAGCATCCATTATTTGTCTTTCCTGCAAAAAGAAGTATGTTGCTTTTCTCTCTTGACAACATAGTCAAAAAATTGAGACCAGCACCATAGTAACCACTAGTAATAGCGTAACGTGAATTCGGCTTGGGTCACAGTTTTTTTGGCTATGAGGAGACAGGCCACAAACACCAACAGTCTAATACAGTATGTGCACTGAGCACAACCTTTGAAAAGTAACTTTATTCTTATCCATTCTTATACAAATCCAAATGGTTTAACAATGTTTGCTCATAACAATAGAAGAACTTTCCAGTATATCCAAAAGCCTAAACTAAACTGAAAAAGAATTGACAAAATGCAGACTAAAAAAAACACTGCTCTGAATGTAAACTTCTTGCCATGCAACGTGGAAATGGAAACCAATTTGGCATATCATGCAAAAAAAGCTCTATCTTACCTGTGTGTACACCATTGTCCTTGAAATTCTGGATGTAATTGTCTCCAAAGAAGTCTTTACCAACCTAGAAAAGATTGAAGGCAAAACGATAAAAACAAAGAGAGTGTCAAGCGGGGTCAGACTTGGTTAGCGGCAACTTTTGAAAAGTGGTATACTCAAACCTCAGTTGGGTTGGATTTTCGTGTGCCCTGCCAGCATACTGGCATGGTGCCGCCGCCGAAAATGTGCAAAAACGAACACACAAAGTCAACAAACGCACACACGCGCAAACACACGACCAGCTGCGCCAAGCCTTCAAGACACGATAACCCCGCCTTCACGCCTCTTCATGCCCACCTCGCCTTCGTTTTCTTTCCCTCCTTCCCCTCTTCCCCTGATCCGCACAGGGATGTCCACATCTGTAGCTACTTTGGGTTGTGGAAGGGGTCCCCACCTTGCCCCGAGGCGCCTACTTCGAACCCACGCTTTCCAAAAAACGTGCCAAAACGCGAGCACTTCTAACTGGCTGTGATAGTGGGTTGGGCTGGTATTGGCTGCTTGGCCCCATTCTCTTTGAAGAGCGGCCTTCCGTCTTGGATGTTTTTGACAAGCCCGGGTGTCTATTTTTGGGTTCTCCCCATGCCCGGAGAGCTCCTCCCGCACTGGGTTGTTATCGATCGGGCCTCTTTGTTCTGACAGAGGTGGGGCTTCGGTGCTTTAGCGCTCAGGTTGAAAGGCCACACTGAGCTTACTGATTGGGGACTCGGGGTTGTATGGTTTGGGAATAGGCTTGTTTGAAGGCGCGCAAGCGTGGGTGGGCGTATGCATGCGGCATGGTATTGATCAAGACAAAATGAGGCATGGAGAGTTGATGTAGTGAAATGACTGAAGTGTGAACGAAGCTATAAGGTTTCTGAGGGTTGTTAACTAGTTGGTGGACTATGGTAGCTGATTATTTGAGTAAGACGTGGATGAAGCAATGGTTGGACGAGCAAAATAACTTTTTACTGACATTCACACATCCGCTAGGATCCAAACTAACATACACAGTAACTTCAACACAACAGCAGCGTATGGCTGCAAACTTGATTACGATTTCACACCTTGCAGATCATAGCGGTTTTGGCCCCCAGTCTTGCAGTCTGTATGCACTGGTTGGCCCCTTTCCCTCCGAAGCCAATGAAGAACTTGTGACCATGGATGGTTTCTCCGGCTTTGGGTAGCCTTGGTGCCTGGCTGAGGGAAAAAAAAAGGTTATTGAGCACAATTCCAAGGTGTACACATTGACATTCAAAAGAACCTCATGGGCTATAGAAAATAAAAATTAAGATTCCTCTTCTCAAAGGAATTCTTTGCTATTCTATTCTATTTTTTTTTCCATCTCAACAGTCTCTATACACTGCTGATTAGTTTGAAAATGTTCCATCAAACTTTGAAAAATGTTTTATTTGGCATTGTGAGTGTTCTACATTGAAACCAAGGAGTAAAGGGAGATGTCAAAATGTGAAGACAACCCTTCAGGGCCAAATCTTTCCCTGGTTAAGCTATTTATTTATCACTGGCAAATGTGCGAAAACACACAAACAAGAGGTTTCGGCAGAGTCTGCTGAGGATTATATGTCTTGGTCTTTTGAAAGTCTTTCACAGAGAGGTCAACAAAATGAAAACTTGCCGGAATGAAGCATAGCAAACTTTTTTTCTTTATGTCTTTTCCCCCCATTTTCCGTTTTCAATACTTGAACACAACAGCAGTAATAAAACATGAGTTTACATTTGCTTCATCACCCTAAAAAGCACTCCAGATATTTTACTTAGTCAATCAGTCAGATATGCCTATGCAAGTCTTTCCAAATTTGCAAATGATGCAACCAGCAAAACCCATTGATGTCTCAACTTGACACTAGCCGCACCAGTAACGCCTGACTCATCTGGGTTGGGTAAAGTCCCGCCCCTCCCCTCAAGGTTGATATGCCACAGGTGGGTGCCCTCAGGAGGAGCTGTCTGTTCACTGATTCCTCCAATCACAGAGACAGAGTGGTTGGTGAGTAACATGGAGGAGAGACAACAGACAGCTTTATACTGTACGTCAGGACATTGTGGTCTGGCCCCGGGCCAGTGCTGCCCAGTGCCTGCGGGTTTGCGGATGGTGAAATGTTGTCATAAACTTGTTTTTCATGCTGTTGTTGCTCTTTTTTTATACTGTGTGCGTGTGTGTGTGTGTGTGTGGCAGGTGTGCTATTACAGTAAGTTTCCTCAATCCCAGGATTTCCAGTAAGTGAGACGCTGGTGGCAAACACTGGAGGTTGTTATAAATGCTGCTGTTTTTGCACCGGCGTGTGAAAACACTAAAATGCCCAAAGCTATAACAGGATGTAGGGTCAGTGAGGCTGAAATGTGGTGAGAAGCAAACAGAACAAAGGACAAACACATGTAAATACACATGCACACACAGCTCCTCCACACACACAGTACCTATTCTACTTGCAGCTGTCTTAGAAAAGTTTTCCCACCTGTGTCACCGCTGTGTGACTCCTGGTGAAGGCCATGTTTTGGTGGGGGAATATCTTTTATAATGGTTATCACTTCCATATACATAATAAGGTGATAGGCCTTACTGGTGATAACCAGTAAACATGCCTATTAAATTTA